GCCGCGTGCCGGGGGCGTGAGCCCCCGGGGCCGTTGGGCGGGCGCCCCGCCAAGCATTCCATATTTTTTAAAGTAATTTTAGTTCAGTAAGTGCTATCACTGTTTGCCCTTTCTATAGATATAATTGGTAATTCATTAGTGATGCTCATCTTTCTACAAAGATGGTGAATGCCCGTCTGAAAACCTACTGGTGATTGTTTTTTTTCTTTAGGTTTATATATAACTGTTTATATGAATATATTAATGCTGGAGAAATTTCTTCACTTCTCAAAACAAGCAGACTCACTTGTGTTTTGATTTGTGTTCATTGACCCATTAAAGGCAAGGGCTGAAGATAATGATGTCTACTTTATGTATTTGATCATAACTCTGCCAATCTAATTCTAACTAGAATTAGAATTCCCTGTATCCAAAACACTGCTGTTTCCTTATTGAAAGACATTTTAGAGAGGTTTGTGTATACTATCAAAGAATATGTAGCACTTTACATATTTTATAAATGATTTGTAAGGTCAGATGCTTTTGAAAGTAAGTGTGACAGGGACCAGCAGTTAGCGTAATGGCTATGTCGCTGGACTCCCATGTAGTTGACCATGATTCAAGTCCTGGACCCAGTGGCTTAAAACTCACACTGGGCATGTGTGCGTGCGTGCCCAAGATCCTGAGAGGAGAATGGAGGAGAAGGGACTGTGGTGTGGCCATCCCCCCTGGGGGGTGATTTCTTGCTTTCTGTCTCTCTGTCTCTCTGTCTCTCTCTGTCTGTCTGGTGAGCGCATGCACCCTATAACAAAAACTTCTTTAAAAAAGAAAGTCAGTGTGAAAAGATATGTAGCAAGTTAAATTTTACCTTTGAATTTTATTACCTAAGTCAGACTAAGTTATATTTCAGGATTGTTAAACAACTCTTCAAAACCACACAGAAACTGAAGAACTACTGTATATGTTTGATTGGTAATAGTGCTTTTGCCAATTTATTTGAAGGATTAAAGTAGAGGAGATATACCATCAGCATAGATTTGTAAATTATAGCACCATAAGACTTAAGATAATTAAAAATAAAATGACAAAAAATTGGTAATTAATTAAGAAATGTGCTGAGTTTAAAAGGCTACATATCAATTAAATTGTTTTTTGGGGGGACCAGCAGGTGGTGTGCTGGTTAAGGCACTGGACGGTCCCACATGGCCAACCACCGTTTGAGCTCTGGACGGTGACTTGCTTTCTCACCTTCTCTCTCTCCCTCTCTGTGTCTCTCTCTGGTCAAATTAAAAATAAATGAATGAATAAATAAAGTTAAATAAATAATTCTTAAAAAGATAAATTGGTTTTTCCAAAATACAAGTTTCTGTCAATTTAGTAGTTTATTTAAAAATTTTGGAAAAAAATTCCACATATTTGTAAATACATCTCCTTTAAGTCACTAAAATTTCTTAAAGTAAAAAATGCATGAATTTAAATTTGGACATAAACAGACCACCTATATCAATAGTACAGTTGTTCAGGACTCTGCTTAGAAGAATCCAAATGTTCAAATCCTAGCCCCTGCACACCATTTTAAAAAGGTCTATGCATATATATACCCAACCCCCCACTAACAGCATAACAAAAAAAATGACAAAGAAGAGATTGCTGTGTGACCACTCCCTGTTGGGAATGCTTTTCCCGTCTTTCTCAGTCTAACAAGGACACCTGCCCTCTGACAATCTGGATAAAAATCCTCACCTTTAATCATCCTGTATCTAATATGTGCCTTTAAAATATAAACTTTCTACCTCATTTAGCCTACAAATTGTACCTATTAAATAAGTATTTAGGGTTAAAACAATTAATTGCAAAATTAACAATTAAAAAGTAATGCTAAAATACTTGTTATTAAGTGTACATATGGAAGTAAAAACAAGTTATTCATTGTTTTAACAAACTCAAAGAGATCTGATTAGATCAAGAAACCAGTCCTAACATTAAGGGGTTTCTCTTCTGGGCAAGAAGAGAAAAGTGACCAGTTTCAGGTCCTTGCAAAGGGCATAAAGATAATAAGTGATTGTTTACCTACCTATTATACCCTGCAGAAGCCAGGGTAGAGCTGATCAAGACAACTCTTAGATATTTATTTATTTATTTATGAGAAATATTTACTATAGGCCATCTGCACTTGCCAGAAGGAGAGAGAGACAGAGAGACAGAAAGGCAGAAAGCGAGAAATCACTCCCTTAGAGGGGATAGTCACACCACAATCCCTTCTCCTTCATTCTCCTCTTAGGATTCCAGGCATGCACGCATATGCACCCGGCATGAGTTTTAAGTTGCTGGGTCCAGACTCAAACTGCAGTTCACTATGTGCTAGTTCATCGATATAACCATTATGCCATCTGCTGGTCCCCATAGATACTTAGTTTAATACAACTATCTGTAAGGACTCAGCAGGGTTAAGATATAAAGGATTCTCTCTCTCTCTCTCTCTCTTTTTTTTTCCTTAAAAAAGAAAAAAGCATAAAGAACTTTTCAAAAGATCTTT